TTTTTCCCCCCTTTGGAGCTCTGTACTGTAAGCACTATTGCTGGACCATGTGGATCTATGATTCAACTCCTGAGGAACTGTGTGTTTGTTTTCCACTGTGGCTGCACCATTTCATATTCTCACCTTCCCGAAACATTTAGTTTGAAAGTTGAAATGACATTTTCTTATATGTGTAAGGAAAATCACTAATTATAGAACTAATGGAAAGTTCAGGGAAATGGGAAAAATAATTCCACTGCCTGAAAGGAAAATCCATCAATACTTTACCTTTAGTTCTTTGTGTTTCTTTTCTACACCTTTTTTTTTTTTTGGTGCTATGGATATGAAACATTAAAGTGCCATTTTTCTATCTGAGTTGTTCATCTAATATTATAATATCTTCAATATTCTTTCCCATAAAGCCTCTTCAGAATATTTTGTAGTGCAATTTAACCATTCCTTAGTATTAATTAAACCAGGACCTTAGAGCCCATGGAACAATTCTGGAGTTTGCTTCCGCACACAAGACAGAGTTCCACATAAGTCCCCCATGCCTGGTCCCCTGGGCCACTCCCCAGTCCCTGGGTCCCATGAGTGATGCTCTGGCTCCTCCCTCACTGCATCACCAAGGGCTGCAAGTGCCAGTGTCTTGGGGTCCAGAACTTAGTACAGAGGACCCACACTGCTTAGGGTGCCTGGGGAAGAGGATCAAAACATCCTCTTTTGTTACAACAGAAATCCAGGGTCACTGCTTAGAAGAATACATTGTCCCAAGAGTCCCTGGAGCTGTCTCTTCCCATGTACTCTGGGCAGTACAGATCCATGAGCATGGGATGAGCTTCAAGAGAGCAATGAGCCTTGTGCCATGCAGCATTGAGTGTGAGGTAGATTTTCCTGGGAAAACCCAATCTGATCATCCTTTTCCTAGTGGCTCCTTGATCCTCTTGGTGTTATTTGCACCTCCGATGACTGGTGGCCATGCCAGGTGAGCCATGCAGTTCCTCTCACTTTGCAGCAGAAGCAGTACTGGCCACTTCCTGAACAGGGTGGGTGGCAAGTGTTGGGGTGGACAACACTTCCCAGCTCCAGCATGTGGCAGAGCTGCCCTGGGCCTGTCAGAATATCTCCTGTATTCTGTGCATGTGGTAAGGATTGTAGGGTCTGTTTGAGGAATGATATATATGACTCTGAGGGACAGATAGGTCCAGAAGTCTGGGTTTTGCTCTGGGGCTGCCATCCAAGAATGTGACTGCAGCTGTAGTATGAGCTGCATCCTGGGCTCAGCTGTTCTAGGCATAAATGGTATGGCTGGTGTCTACATGGTTCTAACTGGCCTTGGTCTTGTCTCCATGACAGAGCTTCTAAGCCTTCGATGTATGACAAAAAGAAGTGCCAAGTCATCTTTCACAAGAAGAACTGCACCTACACTGTTGTGGAGCACAACAATCCAGGAAAAGCCTGTGTGGTTCAGAAATGGATATTGTAGTGTCCTCCTGTGGGCTCAGTGCTCCCAGGCCTGACATCCTTGTTCTATGGCTTCTAATAGTCTGTGATTTTGTAACGCTACCTAGCAGTAAAATTCTTTCTTGAGCAAATCCTTCAATGCTTGTGTGTTTTCAATTTACCAATTATGTTTGCTGTGATTGGACCCATGTTACAAAGGATACAGGTATTTAAATGAGACAGAAATAAATGTAAGTGAAATTTATGCCATGTTTTCTCTACTGCAATTGGTGATCATGCATTACTCCTCTGGGGACCTCAGCCACATCTTCCACTTCTCACACATCAGTCTTTTGCTGCCTGTGTCTTGCAATATGGTGGAAAAGGAAAAATAAGGAGACTTCCAAATGAAACCGAACCCCTTCTTCACTTTGTTGTGTTTGTATATATCCTTCTTTCATT